CCAAAGATTCCTTTTAAAAAAGAAGTTTACATCATATTCTTCTGCATGCCAGTGCTGTGTGTGAGGTAATTTAAGGTGGTTCTGACAACTGTCGTCGGCATCGGTCATATGGGCGGCAAGCCACTCCCATCCGGTCACATGGGCAGCAAGCCACTCCCACAAAGGAGGTCACACCCACAGAGTAGGTTCGAACAATTTTTGAAACCCACCACTGAACATAACTACATGTAATAAGAGCTGGGCTGGTATTTTTGTGGCATAGCTAATAAGAAATAGTTGAGGCATCTAATCTGTTAATTATGAGGGCATATGAGAATAATGCTTCATGCCGATGCTATATTCTAAAATCACTCTCTTCTGGGAAGAAATAATAACAAATAATAATATGATATGGTACTGAGACAGGTTTTAATATTTTGAGATGCTATTGGTCTGAATCACATATTTACCACGTGGAAAATGAAATCTGGACAGCAGAAATGGATGTTCTGTAGCTGTCTAGTCACTAAGAAATTTGTTCTTCAACCAATGACATCTGCAGTATATAAGGAGAATCCAACTGACAAAAGCATCATGATCTCATAACTCAAGCTGTAGCCCTTTTCTATATCCACTCATTTAAAAAGGATAGAGCTCTCAAAGACATACCAATTTCATCATTCTGATAAATGCAGCAAAATTGCCCAAATTCTACTGTCTTTAGTATTAGAAAAATAAATTTATGGGCCAGTTACTCAATAGACTGAAGATTTGATCTTATTTACAGATTGTTTACACACAGATGTATGGACAATTATTACAAAACATTGCCATATTTTCTTGAACTTCTTTATACATACATACATACACACACACATGCATGAGATGCCTTGCATTGATGCACACTGATATAGCGTGTGCCCTTATCTAAGTATCTTTCACTTTTCTTTTTTCTTTGTTCCATTTAATTAAATTGGAAAAATGGTAAACATTCATGTTAAGAAGAAAACACAATTCTGAATTTCATTCATGCATTGCTGACTAGTAACTGAAATAAAAACAGATTTTAGGGAAGATTTTATATTGCCAAAAATTAGGATATTTCTTCAATTTGGGGAAAGGTTTACATGTGTTCTAACATATAATTGAAGTTTACATAAGACAATTTTTTGCATCTATAAATAAGATGCATAAATAAGCACATAAATAAGTATGAGTGTATATATCCCCAGTCCAATTGGGAGAAAAGCCTTTGTATAAATCAGGTTTTGTAGAATACTTTTGGTAAAAGTTAGAACTTAAGGTGCCTAAATAATAGTGTCAAACTTTGAATTGAAAAATCCTAGGAGATTTGCAAAACCTGTTTTAATGCCAATTTCCAATAATTAAAAAAAAAGATTTTGAATTCTCAAGACACAGTATATAGTAGGTTAACACCAGGTTATCTAACACTGGAATGAGAGTCAACAACCATTCTCTCCCAATTCTTCATATATCTTTTCCCAAGAATAGGAAAAGACAGAGAATATATTCATTATCTGGAATAGAATTTTATTTCCTAGACAAGAGGAACTCATGGATGACAGTTAATTTATATTTTTGGCTAAATGTTTTCATTTTAATCTCTTCAGTTCTAATTCATTTAAAAATAATTTAATTCTAAAACTACATGACATACTGTATGTATGCTATTAATTAAGTTATTTAATGTCTGGTATAAGTGCCTTGAATGATCTTTTCTATCTTCTGGTGGTGGAACCCGTAGAAACATGGAATATGCCACAGCCTGGGCAGGATCTGCTCCTGGCAGTTTCAACTGCAAAAAAACCACCATGTAATAAAATCAATAACAATATAATTTTGGTTTATTAATATACATTTTCTAAAATAGCATAAAGAATAAATCTTATACAGTATAGCCTGAAGTTTTAGAAGTTATGTACAACAATCTTAGTCTCTTACTACTGCATCCATGGGAGAACAAACTGAGAATTGGTGACGTATTACTATATTTGTTTTTCTTACTCTGAATACTATCTGTAATTCTATTTCTATTTGCAATCTGGAGTTTTGCTCTACAATCTGTAATGTGCTCTACATGGGGCTGCCCTTGAAGAGCATCCGAAGACTTCAGCTAGTCCAGAATGCGGCCGCGCGAGTGATCGTGGGCGCGGTTCGCCCACATAACACCGATCCTCCGTGAGCTGCACTGGCTACCTGTTGATCTCCGGGTGCACTTCAAGG